AACATGCTCCCACACCACATTCAGGGCACCGCGAAGCGAAGCCTCGATGCGATTGGCGCCGTCCTCTGCGCGACCTAGCTCGATTTGTGAACGAATCTGGACAGCAAGTGATGTTGGAAGTTTTCAGTGGAAGCGGCAACCTCTCTCGATCGTTTCGGTTAGTCCTGAAGGGTCTCGCCTGCTTCGAATTGGACATTATTCATGACGCTGCTGCCGATGTCTTGTCTAGCAAAATTCAGAAGTTGATCGGGGGCTGGGTGCGAATCAAGATGCTCCTAGGTGTGTGGATAGCTACTCCGTGTCAGTCAATGTCGCGGGCTCGTAATCGGCCTAATGGATCTCCGCCGCTTCGAGACGCTGAGCACCCCCTCGGACTCCCTCACCTGAATCCCGCCGACTGTCTGAAGGTTGCCCGTGGTAACCGTCTAGCCCGTTTCAGCTTTGGCCTCTTTTCCCTGTGCAGATCCCTTAGAGTCCCTGTAGTTATCGAGAATCCTTCGACCTCTTGGCTTTGGAGTCTCCCTGGGGCCCAAGCGCTCGCCCGTTCCAGTAACGTGCTCGATCTAGATGTCGATTGTTGCGCTTTCGGAACCCCGTGGCGTAAACGAACCCGCCTTCGGTTTTGTCATCTCGACCTTGCCGGGCTCAAAGGGGCCCGATGCCAAGGCCGCGGCGTTTGCAGTTTTTCGAAGTGCCCGCATAGGGTGCTTGAAGGAAAAGACAGTTCTGGGCGATTTCTCACCCACATCGCCGAGCCGTATCCCAGAGGGCTCTGCGTGGAGCTTAGTAGAGCCTACAAACAAGCGTTGCGGAATAAAGCTTTCTGTGCTTTAACTAGATATGTGGCCTGACGGCCAGTGGGAGAGTTTCGCAAAGTTTCAGTGTTTGCTTTCTGGTTCGGAGTTGTGATTGCCTCGCGGTGGAAACCTTTGCGAGGCTGTGGCATCTAGATGCGAGCGGCTCTGGGCCGCAATCACACAGATTGTCAGCATGGTCGGTCTGGAGCAAAAGTGCGGTGAATCAGTAAGGCTGGCGCCCAGGAATCCGCCAAGCATAGATTGCTCTGGCGTGCCTGGTGTTCTCTGCGAGTCAGGATGAGAGGGCGCCGTTGCGACCGTTGTTGCATCAATGCTCAAGCTTCCCTCCCTCGGTCCCCTTTGTCCCACCCTGCTGTTAGAGCCTTTCTACACTTGCACTGAGTTGTGATTGCCTCGCGGTGGAAACCCTTGCGAGGCTGTGGCATCTAGATGCGAGCGGCTCTGGGCCGCAATCACACAGATTGTCAGCATGGTCGGTTTCTGAAGCAAAAGTGCGCTGTGAATCTGTAAGGGGCTGGGCCCAGGATGTCGCCAAACACATAGATATATTGTAATAATTATATATATATATAGATTTTTATATTAGGTTTCTATATGCCAAATATTCATAGACTCTGCCCTGGGACGGTCAACATACGTTAACCCACAGTTACACTTTCACAACATTTTATATATATATATATATATTAATAGATATATTAAAAAAATACCTAGAGGACAAAACGCACCATAATGTATAAACATGTATGTCTTACCACTAGTGTATACATATGCATGTTGTATATACGCATACACATACATGTACACATTAACCTATTACCTATGGCATGACCATTACACGATATCCTCCAATATTTTGTTATTATACCAATTACATACACGTATACATTCACACACATTCATGTACATCTACATGTACATATGTTTATACGTACACACACACTACGTTTATACATTTGCATTTAACCTTATATTTACGTACGCAGTACATATACATATACATATACATTTACATACACATATGCATATACGTACACATATACATACACGTTCACATGCACATGCATACACATAGTCATACAATTTACAAACACATATACATTTGCACATGATTTTATACGTACACACATACATTAACATGTGCATACTCATATACATCTACATTTTTATATATATATATACACATACATTCATACATTCATAGGCATATACGCCTACACTTGCACACGAATATACATACACACATACATGTAATGTACATTTACATGTACAAGTACGTGTACATGCATGTCTATACATATGCATGTATCGATATACGCATGCACATGCACATACATATTCACATTTATAGAGAACAACCTCCCGCCCTTTCTTTCCCCCCCTCCTCCTGCCTCTGGCATCGCGTGCGCTTTCTCAGGGGCTGCGAACTGCGCAAGTGTCGCCACTTTCTTGGGCTCCTGGGAGGTCCAGCGGAGTCGGGGGACACGCAGATCCAGCCGAGTCCTCGCTGCTCCCTGGCTGGCTGCGAACTGCGCAAGTGTCGTCGCCACGTTCGTGGGCCCCTGGGAGGTCCAGCGGAGTCGGGTGTCAGGCATCTCCAGCCGGGACCTTGCTGGTCCCCCGGTGGTTGCGAACTGCGCAATTGTCGCCACTTCCGTGGGCTCCTGGGAGGTCCAGCGGAGTCGGGGGACACGCAGATCCAGCCGAGACCTCGCTGCTCCCTGGGTGGCTGCAAACTGCGCAAGTGTCGCTACGTTCGTTGGCTCCTGGGAGGTCCAGCGAAGTCGGGGGATACGCATGTCCAGCCAGGACCTCGCTGCTCCTTGGGTGGCAGCAAACTGCGCAATTGTCGCCACTTCCGTGGGCTCCTGGGAGGTCCAGCGGAGTCGGGGGACACGCAGATCCAGCCGAGTCCTCGCTGCTCCCTGGCTGGCTGCGAACTGCGCAAGTGTCGCCACTTTCGTGGGCTCCTGGGAGGTCCAGAGGAGTCGGGGGACATGCAGATTTACCCGAATCCTCGCTTCTCCGTGGGTGGCTGCGAACTGCGCAGGTGTCGCCACGTTCGTGGGCTTTTTTTTCTTTTTTTTTTGTTCTGCTGTCCTTCTTTCTTGCTTCTCGATTTTTTTTTTATTTCCGCTATCTTTTTTTTCCTTTTCTTTTTTTTTATTTCGTTTTTTTTTTTTTATATTTTTATTTCTTTTTTTTCCTTTCCTGGTGTCCAGCAGCGCCGGAGGACACGCAGATCAGCCGAGACTCTTGCTTCTCTTCTATTTTTATTTTTATTTTCTCTATTAACCTCTTAATTTTTTGTTTTTCTTTTTCGCTGCTCCCTGGGTGGCAGCGAACTGCGCAAATGTCGCCACGTTCGTGGGCTCCTGGGAGGTCCAGCGGAGTCGGGTGTCAGGCATCTCCAGCCGGGACCTTGCTGGTCCCCCGGTGGTTGCGAACTTCGCAAGTGTCGCCACTTTTTTTGGCTCTTGGGAGGTCCAGCGGAGTGGAATTGTACGCGCACTCAGCTGAGGCCTCGCGGACCCTTTGCTGGCTGCGAACTGCGCAAGTGTCGCCACTTCTGCGGGCTCGCCACTCTCGTGGGCTTCTTTATGGCACGGCGGAGGTCAGGGCGGTGGGGATCAGTTCGAGACCTCGCGGCTCCCTCGGGGGCTTCGCACTGGCGCAACTGCCTCCCGAGAGGGCTCCCACGACATCCCAACCAGCATTCAACAGACCTACGACTCGCAACCTAGGCACGGTGGGCAGGATGTGCCGACGGCCATTGAGATGACCCCCGAAGGCAAATCCAGGGTCGTACCCAACCCTTTCTCCCAACCCTTTCTATACATACGGCGACTTCTGCTCATGACCGCTGAATTCCGAAGTAGTACATGTACATACCTGTAGTCCTCTGGATCACTTCGCCAAGGACGCCGAAAGAGCCGTCAGATCTCGTCTGGATCTGCGTTGACATGCACTCCGCCCAGTAACCCACGAAACTCGCAACAATTGCACCATCCGCAGTAGGAGGAGGATGAAGAGGAGGATTAGGAAGAGGGAAGAGGAGGAGACGCGGTGCTGGACCCACCGCCGCAGTGAGGCCCCCTCCCCCCCCGAGGCAGCCTGACCTGCACCCGCGTCTTCCGCCTCGACCCCCCGCGACGATGAGGGGCGGCTGCCCTCCCGGCCAGCGCCCGCACGGCCGCGCCGCCGCGTGGCCGCCCGCCGCGCGACGGCCTGGCGGCGGCCGCGTGGGCGGGCCGCCGCTCCGCTGTGGGCGTGCCGCGCCGGCGCAGGCCCGCGGGCGGCGCGGCGGCGGCCGAGCAAAAAAGGGGGCGGGCGGCCCTGCGCCAAGGGTCGGGAGCGGAAAAGGGGGGGGTGATGACTAGGGGGGGGGTGGATTTCATGGCGCGGGCCATGATTTTTCCTCAGATTTCATGGCGCCTCTTCTTATTTTATTACGTCCCAGGCCCCCCCGCTGGGCCGCGCACATGCGGCCGGTCATGATTTGCACCCCCCCCTCTTGGACACCCCCCTCTTGGCCGCTCCCGAAAGGGAGGAGAAGCCAC